AAAACCACAACTTTGTTCATGTTTGGTGCATAACAAATCTCCTTCTTCTTTACAGAATTAAATAATCCTGTGAAGGGTAAAATACACTCTTTTTCTGAACCAGGTGATTATTACGATCCAGGATATAGTTTGTTGCAACATGTAGCTCCTAAGATGGATTGCCCCAAAAGGAATTAATACATTCATAAAAGAGAAAAATGGCAATTTCAACAAAATGGTGAAAAAAAAAAAAACAACTATTTTAAAAGACCTTTTGGTCTTCTGTTAAAAAATGGAATTCCTCCTTCGTGTTTCTGCCTAATTTCAAATGGATGGTAAGTGTTGGTCTGTGGTTCTCTCCAAGGTTCAACTGTCTGGATTGGTCTCACTCCACTGCAGGTCTCACTCCACAGCAGGGCTCTCTGGCACAGAAAATTTGTTCCACCACACAAACTGCACGGCGCGAGTCCAGCCATCACGGGCCCCAGTGCATCCCTGAGGTCACGTCGTTTTATCAGTGAGTCTGGACACACCTAACTGAGTTCTAAGAAAGTGGATCAGTTTGGTCTCTGTGAAGAATGCCGTCCCAAGAGTCACTCCCAAACAGAGGGCCCCCACAGCAATGTGGGCCAGCCTGGCCGGCCAGCCCTGCTCACAACACAGGAACACCTGGGGAAAGAAACCATTGTCACTGTCAGCCCCTGGGGTCAGCACCTCCTTCCCCAGGGCAGCCCAGAGAGGGCATAGCTGCTATCATTCCAGTTTCAAGTCAGATAAAAGGATGGCAGCTACATATGAGGGTCTATTTTGTTCCCACTGGTGGCACAGGTCACATCAATCAGAAGATGATGTCCTAGAGACTTAGGGGGCCGGGGGAGAGGAGGCATGTATTTGCCCAGCTGGCTCAGTTAGCCCAGCAGGGGTGCCTAGAGTGAGGGCCAATGAACAGTTTGCAAAAGCAGGCGGTGCAAAGGCTGCAGATGTCTCACCTCTGAAATACTAGTTATCCCACCACTGAGGGCAAATGCCCCCAGGAGGACCGGTGACAGGTACAGGCCGGCCAGGGGCCTATGGGGGCTCTTTCGGTAGTAGCGGTGGATGAAGAAAAGGCTCTGCGTGATCCGAATGCCCATGTTAAAGCAGTTGGCCAAGATGAAGCCCACGCTGCCACACCACCGGGTTAGGAGATAGGATAACACCAGGAATGAAGATGACAGGGCTAGCATCGTGAAATTGTACCTGGGGAGAGGGAGACAAGCAAAGCAGAGCCCGAGGAGTGAGCCAACACTCTGACCTGACTCCTGGTCCCTAATCACTGCTCCCCAAGGGAAATCACCCTGTAATCTTGGTTAGTGGACATACTCAATATAAGTAGCCAAGTCTTCAAGTTGAAAGATAAACAGGGAGTAAAGTGTGAATCACCCCGAGTGTTTTCTAGACTCTCACACACCCATCCTTCTGCTCTCTGTATGCTTAGAGCTCTTTGGATTCTATGACTGAATGGAGAACTGTTCCTTTCATGGCTGTTTTCAAAGTCATGAGAGAGCACTGCCCCAGACTCTTGTTCTCACCTATGAATGGGATAGCAAACAGTCACCAAGCTTCTCAGTGAAGTAGACCAAGATGGGAAGCAGACAGAGGCTACTCTAAATGATAGGAAGGGCTCCCCAACTCTTTGAGCTACCCTTTACCCTCCTACCCCAACCAGTCTTAGAGGGCCTTCACAGCACTGAAGGCATGACAGAGACCCATGGGCCCCAAAGCCTCAAGGAGCAGTGGCCCTCAAGGGCCACTCTCCCCATTTGCTATAACCACCTCTTGTATTCACCTCTATACCTTCCTCTCTGTTCTTTTCCCTATTGGCCTTATCCTTCTCAACCTCATGCTGCAGTGATGTCTTAAGATACTACCTTGGTACTTTTTGGCATTTGGGACAAAGAGATGGATGACTCTAGGTGGAGCCAAAGTCATAACCAGAAGTTCATGTAAGAATCACTGTGGAGCTTTTAAAAAACATGCACATGCAAGGGAGCCCACTGGCTCTGTAGGGTGGAAGAAAGAGAGGAAGACGGAAATATATATTTCTAACAAGCCCCACGGGGGACTCTAAATCATAACTGGTATTATGAACTCCTGCCTGAGGTTTCGGGAAAAAAAAGTTCTGATCTGGGATCAACAGATGCAAAAGTTATGGGAAACGTGTCTGTGCATTTGGGCCTTTCTCTGAGGAGAGGTGTTAGAGAGATTCTCGGGGGTAGGACTCTGAATCTCCAAGAAGCTCCTTGGTAACCACCAGCTAGAGTACTGGGCAAGGAGGTAGAGGAGTGAGGGCTAGTCTGTCTTGTGCCTGCCTCTGCAAACCTGCACTAACATAACCCTCAGGACATAGATTCCTTCCTCCACAAAGCAGAGGCAAAGAGCAGTTGCCTAGCCCTATGGTGGGAAGGACTAATTGAATTGTGCCTGGGTAGGCACCCCACAATAGTGGCCTAGGTGTTACCTCTTAAGAGAGGCTTTGTGAATGCAAATCCAGAATGAAAGAATGAAGATTGCAAATTACTTCATTTTGATTAAAGGTGTGTCTTTAAAGTTACCCACCTGTCAACCTCCTCTTTGCTCATGGCAGCAAACATGAAACACTCTGTCACTCCATTTATGGCAAGCAGAAGGACGTAGAGACAATAGGAACGTAGCAAAACAGGACCTACAAGAAAATAACCCAAGATTCCAGAGCCCAAACAGGAGATACCCATGCATCTTCAGTTCAGCTGGGCACGCAGAGAACACCAGAACTGGGTCAAGACCCGTGCTGGCATCATCAATGGGCAGACACATGCTTGAGCCTATGGTCTTAATTATTTGGAAGGACTCCCAGCATTCCATGGCACTGACTAAAATAAATAGCTAAAAACAAAAGGACAGTTATGAATAAACGTACAGACCTCTTGCTTAACAACTAAAAGTTATCTGCACAGCAAGTAATCCTCACTTTTTCAGTCAGCAGGAAGAGGTTTGTCAGTCTCACCACCTAAAGAAACCTGTGACTCTACATATTGAGATCCTAAGTTGAACATCTTCTGCAGAAAAGACCTTTTGGGGAAGCCCCAGGTCCAGAAGCAGTAGAGCGATAGAAGACCCACAAATCTGCAAGAAGAATCAGAGCCCGTATGTTTTCTTCTAATTCAAAGTGATGTTGTTCTGTAGCTAACTACATAGCTCTGAAAAAAATCTGCTAACAGAAGATTGAGAGCCTTAAAGATGGGGTGGATCCTCTCTTAAGAGGGCCCTTATCAAGAGGCAGCCAAGCAATTTCTAGTAAAATAAATATTCAAACAACCTATGACCCAGCAATTTCACTCCCGTGTATAAATCCATCATAAATGAATATACACAACAACACTTGCTCATAAAAACACTTGTGCAAAGACATCCATCACAGTTTTATTCCTCATAGCCCAAACCGACCACAAACAGGAGAAAGAGAAACAAAGTGTGGGCCATCCGTACAAAGAACTGCTTCTCAGTAATCAAAGAGAAAAACCTATATTGATCCATAGAAAAACATGACTGAACCTCAAAAAGCTTCCTTCTGAGGAAAAAGCCAAACACAAGTGCCTCCCCTGGTGGCGCAGCGGTTGAGCGCTGGACTGCCAGGCTGCCCCCAGCCGCTGGCGAGGGTCCCACCAAAAAAAAAAAAAAAAGAGAGAGAGAGAAAGAAAAAAAAAGAGAAAAAAAAAAAGGAAAAAAAAAAAGAGGAAAAAAATAGAGAGAGAGAGAGAAAAAAAAAAAGCCAATCACAAAAGTATACCTAACGTATGGTTTTATTTACATGAATTTTTTTTTTTTAAAGATTTATTTATTTATTTATACAAGCACTGGGTACAGTCAGAAGCGCGGAAGGGTGAGAGAATTCACCAGAGCCAGAGCGGGGAGCAGAGCAGGCAGAAGGACCGAAGTACACTGCTGAGGGGAGCAGCGGGGGCAGGAGAGGTCTGCGCGCCATGCGGGACCCTCCTCCAATGGCCAGGGAGCAGCCAGGGATCGAACCGGCGCCGCAGAGGCTGTGGGCAGCTTCGCAACCCAGCGCTCAACCGCTGCGCCACCAGGGAGGCCCTGAAATTCTTTTTAAAAGCAATACTGGTCTATGGTGATAGAAATCAGAACAGTGGTCGCCTCTGAGGTTCAGCTGACTAGAAAGGGTCCTGAGGGACCTCTCTGTGGTAATGGGTAATGGAAATGTTCTATATCTTAATTTGATGCCGGGTACATGGGTGCACATATTTGTCAAAACTCATTAAATTGTACTTTTAGGAGTACAGAATTTTACTTTATGTAAATTAGACCTCAATTCAGAAAAACCTTAACCACTGAAAGAAAAGGGTGGGGGGACTAAGTACCAGAATCTGAACTTAAGTTCATGGTTATTAAAGCTGCTTAATATGAAACATGCCTATGCCAAGGGGACCAAACAGTTTTACTGCAGTCAAAAGTACAAGAGGGATATTAACAGGGCAGCAGCCCTGATGCTCAATAAAAAAGTTTTCCGTGGCTCTCCCTTGGGGCCCACATTTTATTGTGTGGTACTGCAGAGACCTCTGTCCCCCACCCCAGCTGAAGGACAATCCCAGTAGAGGGCGCAGGGACCAGGATGTGCCCTGGGATGGTCTGAGGCTAGGCCCAGTGTGCTTTGCACTTCCCTCCCTCCTCTATAAGGCAGAGAGGAATGGGGCACCTCTCGTAACTGCACCGCTCACTTGGTAACTAAAAGCTAATGATGTATGTGAGTCTATGTGAAGTGGCTAGTGAGCTGCTTTGAGACATAAAAAACACAAACTCAAAATAAATAAATAAAATAAATAAAATAAACAGAAAACACAAACTCCTGCATCAAATAGTGATTTCAGGGGAAGGGTTTTGAGTCAATTTGGGGGAAAGAGTTTGAAATTGGGGAATCCAAGGAAGGAACCTTAAATTATGGACTGACTTGAGGGGTATCACAGGTTGAATTATATCCCTCCAAATAGTATGTTAAAATCTTCATCTCCAGAACCTTAGAAAATGATCTCATTTGGAAATAGGGTCTTTACAGAGAGACTCAAGTTAAATTTCTCATTATGACTGGTGTCCTTATTTTTAAAAAGAGGGGAGGAATTTTGAACATGGAGAAGACTCTTATAGAGGAAAACGATGTGGAGACATACAGGGAGAAGACAGTCAAGAGACTGGGGTAATGCACCTAGAAGCCAAGGATCCCTGGCAGACAACAGAGGCTGAAAGAGACAAGGATGCATCTTCCTCTAGAGCTGTCAGAGGGAGCACGGCCCAGCTGACACCTTGATTTAGACCTCTGGCATCCAGAACTGTGAGATAGTGAATTTCTATGAATTTCAAGCTGTCAAGTTTGTGATACACTGTTATTATAGTCCTAGGAAACTAATGTAAAAGGAAAGAGGAGAAAAGCTGATTTTAAAAAGCAAAGGAAAGGGGTAAGAGAGAAAACTAAGAGATAAAAGTGAGAAATCTCAAGGAAGTTCAGTGACTGTTTTTCTGAAGGATGGAAAAGCTAGGCTTGAGAAAGATCTTGAGAAAATCTCTAGAGCACTTACAAGGCCCCTAAATTGAATTCAGTGTTAATCCAAACAATATAAAGCAAAACCATAATGCTCCACACGAAAGCCTGTGTGTGCTGTGTTCAAGCCCCACATTTGGAAATACCAGCATAGGGGAGGAGGGTGTGTCAGAGGCCAATTCAGGTCACGGGAAAGTTCACTTCACAGTTGGGGACAAAGACCAATATGCAACTGGGCAAAAGCAGACACACATAAACCATCCCAGGTAGCCACAGAAGACCTTAGAGAGAGCTCAAAGTATGGTCAAAATGAGAGGCAGCCATAATGAGGAGACAAATGCTAGAAAACACTGCTGGGGTGGTGTCCCCAATGGAACCCTGGCCCAGGCAAGAGGTCACAATGGTCCCAAAGCCCTGATCGGGTACACTGATCCACATGCTATTTTCAGAAACTGAGAAACCAGATCGTTCTCAAGACTCTACTCTCTCTAAAGATGAGATTGAGAGCGCATCTTTTTGAGTCTAAAATTAATGATGAGGGGGCCTCCCCAGTGGCGCAGTGGGTTGAGCGCAGCACTGTGAAGCTGCCCACAGCCTCTGCAGTGTGGGTTCGATCCTGGCCGGCCAGCGAGAATCCCACATGGCTCAGCAGACCTCTCCTGTCGTGCCTGCTGCTCCCCTCCGCAGTGTATTTCGGTCCGTCTGCCTGTTCTGCTCCCCACTCTGTCTCTGGTGAATCCTCTCACCCTCCCGCACCTCTGACCTATACCCCAGCTCTTGTATAAAAATAAATAAATCTTAAAAAAATAAATAAAATAAAATTAATGATGAGGGTGACCCTAGTGGCTCAGGGGTAAATTCTTGAGCTATCAGGCTACTGCCAGCCACTGAGGCCTGAGTTCGATCCCTGGCCAGGGAGCTACCCACATGGTGCAGCAGACCTCTCCTATCTCACCCACTACTCCCCTCAGCAGGTATTTCAGTAGATCTGTCTGTTCTGCTTCCCACTCTGTCTCTGGTGGATCCTCTCACCCCCCTCACCTCCGGCATACACCATTCCATAAATAAAAAATTGAAAAAAATTAATGACAATGACATAAACCACTAGATACAGAACTCATTATCTTAGAAATCAACTAACACCAACCCTTGTAGTTGATAACTCTATTATCAGTGCTCAAAGCTGACACCTTTCACTTGGGTAAAAAGATGACACAATTACAAGTTTGTTTGTGGATTGACTATGATGAGTTATTCCACCAGGAGAACCCTATAGTGATGGACAGCCTGTCCTCATGGCAGTGTCCTGTGACCCCAGTACATTAAAGGCTGATGTTTGTTGATTACCTTTCTAAAGGGGCAAAGCAGCTGTGAAATATTCGAGTCCCCTGTCTCTGCAAACTAACTTGCTAATGGTTTCCTAATGAAGTCTCTCTGCAGCAGCCTGATGGAAATGTACTTCTCACAGCACAAGCCCCAGGAAGCTACAAACCACTCCATTGGTTTCACAGCAGGTACTTCTCCCAACATAATCACCTTTGTTCTAGTGTAGAAACTTGGCCCTTCCCTCCCTAATAACAAAAGTTTGGGCCCATTAGAGTGGAGACTAAAACATCAGTGAGCTTTAAAATGGCATTTGACAAAGCCCTCTGCAGTGAGGTGGGGCAGCAGAAAGACTTCAGGGTTCTTGTCAAGTAACTGAGGAATTAAAAACATCTTTGCTAAACCCAAGCTGAAACATTGCAAATGGACTGTGAGCTTATATCCCAGTACAATGGAAGCTGAAGTCCCCGGGGCCTACCAAGTGAGTGCTGGGAGATGCTCAGTAGCCTCGACACCAGGCATTTCGAGTTGGACTCATTCAATACTTTTCTCCTTCAAAAAGCAAGAGTCACTGGATTAAATATCCATTTTATTTGCCAAAACCAATTTTATTTTCTCCAAATGGCTCTGGGTTATCCTTCAGAGGCTTTTATGCACCAGCCCCTGAGATTTATGTGGCATTGACTGTTTTCAGATGTTTTTAGTACCAAGGGGAGACTCATTAGAGCCCACTCTCTGCCTTTCTCCCTCACCCCAGAGGGAACACAGGAAAATGCTTGGCAAAACACATTCTAGGCCTGAGAGGAAAGCCAAGGCTTTATACCAATTTCTCCGTGTGAGGTTGGAGAACTGATGAACCTGGTGGCAAAGTCCCTGGATGCACCCTAAGCTACATCTAAAGGGAATCATCTCACAGCCAAGCTGCCTCCACTTTTCCCTGTATTCACACAGATATCAACTGTGTGTGCACAGCTCTTGAATTTCCTAAGACTCTCCTATTTCTGTTGGAAATTAGAGCAAATCTGGCAAAACTCTTATGCATACCTGATCCTGAGCTAAGCATGGTTCCGCCATAGATATCCAAAGCCAGCTGAGAATAGGCAAAGCCAAAAACGGTGATAGTCAGGCCAGCTAGCAGGGCCAGCTTAAGCAGGGACTCCAAAACCGCTGCCGCCACAGCAATGTCCTCCTGGGGGGAGGTAGAGAAGGGGGATGGAAGGAAGTTGGATAAATCATGAGCTAAAGAAAATCTTCACATCTTGCCTTCTCCCTTTGCTGTTTCACACATCAGTCTTTCAACTAGTGAGGGCCATCACTGTTTTTCTCTAGCCTATGTTTGTTTCTGTCAATTAGCAAACGAATTAGCACAAGACAATGTGTGTCTCCTTAGGTAGTGTGGGGAAGGACACTCACGTTCACCTCTGATATTTATTTTTAAATGGACAGCGAGTTTTTAGCTCTCTCTATCATTGTGCTTCTCTTGACAAATACCTCAAAATTCTGATGTTGCTGTCAATATACACTTAGGAAAAGTCCTAAATCAGACTGAGAACCATATTAGCTTATTTTGAAAAATTGTGCCTTAAATTATATTTTGCAAAATGTCTTCTAAAACATATAAGAAGTTGACCTAGCTTGCTTTCATCTTAAGATAAGTCAGATATTTTCAATGGTTTTGGAAAAAGTGAAGTTTCCACAATGTAATAAATCCTGGATTAAAATCTCTTCTTTTGTATTTACCAACCAGAGTATGTAGATTTATAGAGCGAAAGTAGCTCTGAGCACTTCACAGTTCTTATGAAGCTTAAACAACTAGTGTGGTGAGTGAAAGAAAAGTGACCACGTCCTTCCCTCCCCATGCCTAAGGTTAGCTTTGTTCCAGTCTCAGCATGCTTTGACTCACTTTTGGTTCTGAAAATTATTATTCACTAGATCATTCCTATGCCATTGGGAGGGGGTCTGTGCTGCACTAGGGACAAGCAGAGTTTTGAGAGGACAGGATCAAGAATAAGGTCACAAAGAAGAAGAGAGATGAGAAGGCAGGGCCAACCAAAGGAGAAGGCCATGAAAGAAGTGGGCTCTGGGTCCTGTCATCATTCAGAACATGATAAAAGAATGAATACTAGAAGAAAATTTTAGCTTTAAATGGAAGGAAATTGGCAGATCCACATTTCTGTCTGTTCACCTTACATTTAGAGAGGGAATTTACTTGAGACAGTGACATGAGAACCAAGATTACCTGCTTCTGAAGTGTAGCCTCCTTTTCTCTCTCCAGCACCTTAGCAAAGAATATATAAAAACTCTCCTCTATTGGTTGGAAAATTAATCTGGCCACAAGGGAGCCAAGATTATTCACTATATCATATACACCTACAAAACATAAAGAATGGATGAACAATCTTACACGTTTTCTATTTGAATTTTCACACTATAATTTTTCCCTAATTTTAAAATTAAACTTTTTGAGATAATCATAAATTTGGTTCATTTGGAAAATTAAGAGAGTCCAAGTACCCTTCACTCTGTTTCCCTGAATAGCTTGCAAAACCATCTGCGATATCAACCAGGATACAGACAAGGATACAGTCAAATTCAGACCCTTTCTATCACTAGCACTTTTTAAAACAAAAGTCATTCAAGCCAAGTTGATTTTCTCATGCTCTTCTTTCTACTATTTTGGGATTAAAGTAAAAAATAACTGTATAAAATAATATTGAGGTCTATCTAGTCAAACAAGCATGAAGTACATCTTTGTGATTGTGATGATAAGTTTCCTTTTCTCTTTGCTCAGCACCCCTCACCCTAAAATGAGCAGCAGAGCTACACAGGAAGCAGGGTAAGGCAGGGGATTTCAACAGTCACACATGCCACCAAAGTCACATGTGAATAGAGAGTCAGTACACTCTGTGTATTTACAAAGACCTACATTTTTCAATCTTTTGGACTCTTTATTTTATAGTCTTCATTTTTAAATAATCTTTGGGTTCATTTTTTCATTAAATGTATCAAACTGCAGAGGAAGGTATTACTTTCCTCTACTAACTACTAAATAAAGGTATCTACTAACAGTATTTACCTTTATTTGAAACACTACAAAATTCCATCTTACCTTGATCGCCAAAATTTAACACATTCAAAAATGTCATCACATATCTCTCACCTAAAAATGGAAAAGTACAAATAATTAGCATTTCAAATGCATATTATTTTCCTGTTTCCTTTTACTGCCTGTCAACTTTTCTAGTTGGTAAATATGCCCACAGGAGAAAAATTAGGTAATCAGTTATAAAGATCCTTGATCTAATGTTGATTTAAAACAATCTCAAAATAATAATTTGGAATGTGCTGGGGGCTTTGTTGACAGAAAATCTCCAAAAAAGTTAAAAGCAAAATTATTTAATAAAACCAGTCTAATAAGTTAAAAAAAAAGTATGGGGAGATCACTAAAATGTTAATAATGAAAATGATTGCCTTAAATTTTAAGGGAGGTCAGATAATTAAAGTCTGTGAAATATAAATTCCACAATTATATGCACAGACTCATCAAAGGTTCCTTCCAGACTGGAGAAAATTCTAAGGAGGCTGGTAAGGCTCTGGAGACCAAGTTCATGATTCAAATCTAAGACAGTCAAATGCCTTCAAGGCAATGACACCAATCCAGAGCCCCACCCCCGATTCCATGAATTTTCTTATCCGTGAGTGGAAAGCATTGACCACTATGGTGAGGGAGCACTGAAGATTGCCTACTGCCCTACAGGGGAAATTCTCACCTCCCTTTGCCCAAAAAGGAATGCATTATTAATACACTAGAAGCAGTGATGCTCTCTCAAGTCTCTCTTTAGTCCTTACCTCTGTGCAATTCCACAGCCACTGCATCTGGGCAGGGACCCCTGCAGGAGCTAGCTCACAAAACTACATTTACTCCCACCAGTATCTCTGCACTGTTTCTGTCCATCCTTGCTGCTAATTGTTGCTGCTTTTGCAAGTACAATCTTAAGTCAATCCCTGTTTTCTCACCTTTGAATGGCTCTTTATTGTTTAAAAAAAGCTCAGTTCCTTAGTTCTGCATATGTGTCTTTTACAAACTAACTGCAAGCTCTCATTTTGGTCTTCCTTCACCAACCTCACCCCCATCTTCCTTTACCACACTGTCACCCTTCAATACCAGGTTTTATTGCCTGGTAAAGGGTCAGACTGAGCCTGGTCATACTCCCAGTCTCAGCTCTTGTCAATCTTACCATCTAGAATGGTTTTTTTAATTGGGAAGTCCCTCTCTTCTGGCACAACAGGCCTCACCTTCCTACATTCTATAAGCTCCCAAGGGCAAGAACCAGGTCTCTGTGTCCCTGCTTTCCTAGCAGAGTTCCAGGAAATGAGATGGCACTCAAGAGACTCTGGTGAGTGCAGTTTTTCTAAGTACATCCTGCATCAGAGTTAACCACACAAATGTGTCTTTGGTTAGAGAAAGAGCTCCTTGAGACCATGACCTGTGACTCATCTGTGTATTCTCAGCTTCTACCACAGTGTTCAGGAATGTGGGAGCAGAAGGTAAAAGCATATACATTTTTGCTACTATAATGAATGATTTCAACTCGTTTAGAGCTACAATATTTTTAAAGATTCATTTATGCATACAAGAACTGGGGTATAGGCCAGAGGTGCAGGGGGGTTAGAGGATTGACCAGAGACAGAGTGAGGAACAGAACAGGTAGATTGACTGAAATACACTGCTGAGAGGAACAGCAGATGAGTCAGGAGAGGCCTGCTGCACCATGTGGGTAGCTCCCTGTCTGGGGATCAAACTTGTGCTGCAGTGGCTTTGGATAGCTTCATAGGTTGCCTCTTAATCCCCTGCACCACCAGGGAAACCCTAGAGCTGTAATTTTTAGGTAAAAAGAATCTAAGGGTCTCTCTGGTGGTATAAGAGGTTAAGTCTCACAAATGGGGACAGAGAGGCCTGGGGAGTTAAAATAAAGATGTGGGGGAAGAAAATAACATGATAACAACGATGGTTGTATTGGAATGCTGGAATTAGAGGGAACTTTTTTCTGTTTTCCAAAATTTTTATAATGGGATTCTATTATTTTTAAAATTAAAAGATAATTTTGAAAAGATTTTAAAATGTGTTCAGTAGTAGATAGATGTATAGACATATGAAAATTACATATAGAGAAAAGCTACTACCTTCAGCAGCTTACAGAAGCCTCAAATATCATTCTTTGAACTAAAGCTGGGTGTGAAAAAACTAACATATTCATATGTGCTATGAATGGACTTTCAGCTCTCTCCTGGCCCTCTGCATCAAGAGCTCTGTCACTATTCAAGGAAAGGACCTAAGACATTTAAGGCTCAGATGGCAAGCTCAGATGGCAAACTATAATCCTATATCCCTGAAACCTATATAAGTCAATGTTACTTCAATAGATTTTTTTTAAAAAGTTGAATTTTATTGGTGTTTAACAAAATAAAAGAATGGAAACCTGGCTCTTAGAAAAAGCAAAAAAAAAAAAAAAAAAAAGAACACTGAAATATATCTATGTATAAAATGAAAACAGAAAGGACCAAAAAAAACAAGTTAATGTAGAAAAATTTAGCACATGATAACAAGATTATGGATAGCTTCTCCCTTTTCTAAATTCTCTGTAATCAACACAATACTTTTATAATACATTTCATTAAATGATATATATATAATTTGGGGTTTCTTGGGTTAAAGTTGGACTCAGAGGAAGCTGTTCCTCATTACTGTAAGAGCCTGCAGAAGTTATATAACCTCACTGACCTGCAGTTTCCTCTGAGACAATATTTTTCTTACAAGGCTTTGGAGAGATTTAAATTAGACTACTTAAATAAAGCGGCAAGCTAAATAAATGTTAGCTTCCCTGTCCTTATATAAAAAGCTCTCATTGCTGAGGCTCCTCTGCTGAGAGCCTTGAGACAACAGGTAGCCTGGATCTAGGTAACAGGCCATTGTGACTCCACATGCTTGCCTTATGCTACAGTTTTCCCACGGCTGAGTGACCTTTTACTTACCTTCTGTCAGAATCTGTTTCAAGAAAGACTGTTTGAAAAAACTCCAAGTTAATTTAGCCTCTTTCCAATTTACAAAAGCCTAGAAAAGAAAACAAAACAAAAACTCCCAGTTACTGCAAGTCTAAGAATACAGTAATGCTACATAAGAGGCAAATTCATTTTGGTTCCTAAATATCAACTTGGATAGCACTGAGTAATTTTTCATTTAATGTTAAGCATAGAAAGCATCTGACGAGTACTGGCAAAGAACATACATTCCTAAACATGAATACAAAGGCTCTAGGTGGAAGAGCATCTCTATAAAGGGCCTGCCTAAGCTCCATTCACCAGGATTCCTGAAGAACTGCGCTGTCCAGGGAAAGCAGGACAGGAAGCTGACCACATCTAACAAAGACAGCTAGCAGTCAGTTTTTTCCTTAAAAAATGTCTGATATCAGCTCTTTGCAGATTTTTGTGATCAGTCCTTTATCATTAGTGTTGTGTGCAAAAATGTTCTCCCAGTCGGTGGGGTTTCTCTTTGTTTTTGTTATTGTCTCTTTTGCTGTGCAGAAGCTCTTTAATTTGATGTAGTCCCAGCTGTTTATCTTTGCCTTCACTATCACTGCTTTGGGTGATGTGTCTGTAAAGATGTCTTTGATGTGAATATCACGTAGTGTTTCGCCTATATTTCCTTCTATGTATTTTATGGTTTCAGGTCTTATGTCTAGTTCTTTAATCCATTTTGAGTTGATTTTTGTGTATGGTGTGAGGTAGTGGTCAAGCTTCATTCTTTTGCATGTAGCGACCCAGTTTTCCCAGCACCATTTACTGAACAAACTTTCTTTGCTCCAATGCATAGTCTTTGCTCCTTTGTCAAATATTAGCTGACCATAAATCTGTGGGTTTATTTCTGGATTTTCTATTCGATTCCATTGGTCTGTATGTCTGTGAGACTCAACAACAACAAAGAAAATAATCCAGTCAAAAAATGGGCAGAAGAGCTAAAAAGAAACTTCTCTGAAGAGGAAATGCAAATGGCCAACAGGCATATGAAAAAATGTTCAACATCACTTGTAATCAGGGAAATGCAAATCAAAACTACCATGAGATTCCATCTTACACCAGTGAGAATGGCACATATTAAAAAAACTAGCAACAACAAATGTTGGCGAGGGTGTGGAGAAAAAGGAACTCTCCTGCACTGCTGGTGGGAGTGCAAACCGGTCCAACCAATACGGAGAGCTGTGTGGAGATTTCTGGACCTACTAAACATAGAGATTCCATATGATTCAGCAATTCCACTCCTAGGTATTTACCCAAAGGACACAGAAACATCAATTCCAAAGAGCACCTGCACCCCTATGTTTATAGCAGCACTGTTTACAATAGCTAAGCTTTGGAAACAGCCCAAATGCCCAAAAATAGATGACTGGATCAAGAAGATGTGGTACATATATACCATGGAATATTACTCAGCATTCAAAAAAGATAAACACATGCAATTTGCAGCAACATGGATGGCGCTGGAAGGGATCATGCTCAGCGAAATAAGCCAGAAAGAAAAAGAAAAATACCGGATGGTCTCACTCATAGCAGGAATCTAGCTAAATAGGAATAATAAGATAAAGAAAAAAAAAAAAAAAAAAAAAAAATAACAAAAACAAAAGAGAGAAAGCGGAGGAAGGGGAGGTGGGAGTGGGGGGGTAGTGAATGAATGGGGGGTTGCAATTGTATGGGAATATAAAAATAAAATTTATTATTAAAAAAAAATGTCTGATATATGCCAGACTACACAACAAAACCTGCTTCATGGACTCCCATTTTATTTTTTATTTATTTATTTTTTTTTAATAGAGGCATGTTTTTATTTATTTATTTATTTGTTTGTTTGTTTTTATACATGCACTGGGTACAGTCAGAAGCGCGGGAGGGTAAGAGAATTCACCAGAGCCAGAGCAGGGAGCAGAGCAGGCAGAAAGACCGAAGTACACTGCTGAGGGGAGCAGCGGGCGGCAGGAGAGGTCTGCGCGCCATGTGGGACCCTCTTCCGGTGGCCGGGGAGCAGCCGGGAATCGAACCAGTGCCGCAGAGGCCGCAGGCAGCTTCGCAACCCACTGCGCCACCGGGGAGGCCCATGGACTCCCATTTTAATGCCATATTTGGCCATTGTGTAAATGCTGTATGTACACACTTTGCTTGTATATTAAAAAAAAAAAAAAAGAGGGCCTCCCTGTGGCGCAAGGGGTTAAGTACCGCATTATGAAGCAATATGCAGCCTCTGTAGCATGAGTTCGATCCCTGGCTGGCCAGGGAGAAACCCACATGGCGCAGCAGACCTCTCCTGTCTCACCCGCTGCTCCCCTCAGCAGTGTATTTCAGTCAATCTGCCTGTTCTGTTCCCTACTCTGTCTTTGGTAGACCTTCTCAACCCCTATCCTGCATCTCCAGCCTGTGCCCCAGCTCTTCTATACATAAATAAATAAATCTTTTAAAAAAAATAGAAAAAAGACAACTCATCCATCCCAGATTAGTGAAATTCAGAATTATTATGACAGAAGAAAGAGAAAAAAATCTTCTGATATAGTTCTTCCAAAACTCCTAAGGGGGCACCAAACTACCTATTTCCTAAGGGCGAGGAGGGTGTGAGGGAAGTCAGTGCTGAGGCAGAGGTCAATCTGTAAGAGTGCTTGGAAGACAGTGAGCTGACCACAAAATGGAGGAGCACAGCAGCTAGCTGGAAGTGACTTCTTTTCTACCTCCTCCCAGATCTTTCCCAGAGACCTACTCTGTCAAGAATATTCAGAATGGGGCCTCCCTGGTGGCGCAGAGGTTGAGCACTGGGTTGCGAAGCTGCCCGCAGCCTCCGCAATGCTGGTTTGATTCCCGGCTGCTCCCCTACCACCGGAAGAGGGTCCCACATGGCACGCAGACCTCTCCTGCCGCCCGCTGCTCCACTCAGCACTGTACTTTGTCAGTCTGTCTGTTCTGTTCCCCGCTCTGGCTCTGGTGAATTCTCTCACCCTCCGGCGCTTTTGACTGTACCCAGTGCTTGTATAAATAAATAAATAAATAAACAAACAAACAAATAAATAAATAAATAAATAAATCTTTAAAAATAAATAAATAAGGCTTAAAAAAATATTCAGAATGTTCTGTCTAGGAGTTAGGTTCACTTTGAAAAGTTCTGATTAACTAAAAAATGATGATCTTTGAAAGGTGGAATTTCAGTGGCACTTTGAGAGGAAAGGGGTAAAGCAAAAAGGCCACGTCCACTTCACCTCTGCAAAAGGTCAGCTTTAGCTGTGGAAGTTGGCCGAAGGGCAGGTCCCAGTTACACATGCCCAAAGCCTATCTGTATAGAACAATGCCATCCAGGAGAAAAAGAATGCAGGCCACATATATTTCTAGCAGTGAAGAGTAAAAACAGGTAAAATTAATTTTAGTACATTTTATTTAACCAAAATATTATAAGTTCACCATGTAATCAACGTAAAAAATATTAGAGGCATTTTACATTATTTCTCCAATTTAAGTCTTTGAAACCCAGTGTGTATTTAGCACTTACAGCTCATATTTCAAACGCTTTATAGCCACATGTGGTTGCTGGCTACTATTTAACACAGGGCAAATCTAGAGTACCCCTTGAAAGCAAGGGCACTCATGCCTTGATCTAAGAATCTATCTTCTAGATATAGGAAGGACAGGCTTGGATTTTCCCAAACTACACTGCCTTCAGGACACCACTGGATCCTAAACAGACGTCCCAGGGTAGCTCTAGGCCGGACTAAATCTTCCCCTAACAGAGTGCCAGACAACCTACTACCGCTAGGGGGCACTGTGACCACAGCATCGGGGAGCAGTGGGCTCAGAAGCACTATTTCACTCTAAGCCCCACAACCTTGCCAGGCCTGATTTTGTGGGTGGAGAGATCCAGAAGGGCTCTTTTCAAACAAAACAGTCACAGTTGCTACATGAGGTTCTTGTGAAGCTTACTTGTGTGTAGGCAGTAAATGGGTTTGAGAAGATGCCTGAGCTCTTTAAAAAAAATTTTTTTTAAGGAGAATGAAATCGTGATAGTAAATCTGATCTAAAACTTTAGGATTCCTTTCTCCTAATGACCTTCATTCAAATGGACCTGTGGTTCAGAAGGAATGGCCACATTGCTTAATATCTTTATTTTTTTTTAATTAATTTTTTGAAAACTTTTTTATAGGTTTTTTTTTTTAATAGAGGCATGTTTTATTTATTTATGTTTGTTTATACATGCACTGGGTACAGTCAGAAGCGCGGAGGGTGAGAGAATTCACCAGAGCCAGAGCAGGGAGCAGAGCAGGCAGAAGGACCGAAGCACACTGCTGAGGGAGCAGCGGGCGGCAGGAGAGGTCTGCGCGCCATGTGGGACCCTCCTCCGGTGGCCGGGGAGCAGCTGGGGATCGAACCGGCACCGCAGAGGTCGCGGGCAGCTTCGCAACCCAGCGCTCAACCGCTGCGCCACCGGGAGGCCCTGCTTAATATCTTTAAAATGCTCATTAAGGGGCCTCCCCGGTGGCGCAGCGGTCGAGTGCTGGGTTGCGAAGCTGCCCCCAGCTTCTGCAGCGCCGGTTCGATCCTTTGCCGCTGGGCGAGGGTCCCACATGGCGTGCGGACCTCTCCTGCCACCCCCTGCTCCCCTCAGCAGTGTATTTCGTCAGACTGCCTGTTCTGTTCCCTGCTCTGGCTCTGGTGAATTCTCTCACCCTCCCGCGCTTCTGACTACCCAGTGCTTAGATAAATAAAATAAATAAATCTTAAAAAAAAAAATGCTCATTAAGGAAATAGAGGCAGGAAGTCAGAACAGAGATTGGGTTTTCTCTCAGCGGTATCTGTCAAGTGGTAGCAAAGAAGAAGCTGTTTCTTTGGGCTTTTACCATTCTGTTCAGAATGTATTTGTCACTTGGGCAGTCAGGAGAGGCCTATGTCACAAGAGCTGGGTTGGTACCTCTGAGCTGTGACTTTCTCTGGCATCCCCTGACCAACAAACCATTCCACTGCCTCACTGTATGGATGGGGAAACTGAGGCTTGGGTGGCAAAAGGTGATGAGGTGATGGACAGTATCTCCAGGCAAGGTCTGGAATCATAACTGGGAAGCTCATTGTACTTTACCCACTCTTCCACTTCCCAAACTCTTCGGTATCTGGATGCCCCAACCAGCTGCATTCTTCACATTCTTACCACATGGAATAGCCACCAGGGAATACCTGTCCCTGGCCTCCCTCACCTTTATATCCCATATGGCAAACCTTCCCCTCCCTCTTCCTCCAGGGCTATCAACCTGCCCAGTTTTATCCATGCTCACATTTCCACCTTCCACTGACCTCAACACTTCTCAGCTTTACTTAATTATTAGTAAACCTCTCATCTGAAATCACTCAGAAGTAGCAAGCATATAAAAAACGTTAAAAGGCAGTCATTATGTGAGGTATCACTAATTTAAGTATCTTAAAAGATAAGTATCTTTAAAGAAGATGAGATTCTAGAAGACTAGGAAAGAAATTTCACAATTTGCTCAAACTGATTTTGAATGGAATGGTCTGAGCAGTTTCATATGAGGCAGTCCCCACAGGCAGAAATCTGCTCGAAGAATCGCTAGGCATGTTGCTGGTGGTAGAGTCATGTACTATATTCACAATCATCTCTCTCTCTTTCTCTCTCTCTCTCTTCTTTTTTTTTTTAATTTTTTAAAAAAAATATTTATTTATTTATTTGTTTGTTTGTTTATTTATTTATACAAGCTCTGGGTACAGTCAGAAGCGCAGGAGGGTGACAGAATTCACCAGAGCCAGAGTGGGGAACAGAACAGGCAGACTTGAAGAGGTACACTGCTGAGGGGAGCAGCGGGCGGCAGGAGAGGTCTGCGCGCCATGTGGGACCCTCGCCCGGAGGCCGGGGATCGAACCAGTGCTGCAGAGGCCGCGAGCAGCTTCGCAACCCAGCGCTCAACCGCTGTGCCACCGGGGAGGCCCACTCTCTCTCTTCTTTTTACTTAACAAGTAAATATATACATATTTCCTAGCAAATTGTCCTGTCTGGAAAATCTTGATCCTTAAGTAAATAAATAACTACCTTGAACATAAGTCAGTTTCATTTGGAAAGCAACAGCGCATAGAGGCTAAACACTTAGATTAAGGTTAGTCCACAGATAGCAGTGGATCCAAACCAGCTATGTGACCTCTGGTGAGTCACTTAACTCCTCAGAGCCTCAGTTTTCTCTTCTGCAAAATGGAGACAATGGTATTTATCTCATTGGGTTACTATGAGAATTCAAAACAAAAACCATGTAAGGTGCTTTAGTGGCATCATAGGGCAAGCTCCCAGTTAATGGCAGTTGTTATAAAGGGTTCCTTGTCAAAGTTCGAATACTTTCACAAGTCTTGAGAGGGGCCTCACAGGTCATTAGAGCAACAATCTCACTCTAAAAATGAGAGTCATGAGGTTTGGAGAGAGTTCTACAAGTTTCATGTCTGTATCTGCTGCCTCCCAAATCCACAGAAGATCCCTGAAGCCCAGCAATCACCTTCCTATCCATAGTATGAGCATGGGTACTTTGGGCTCTCACTCCAATACCATCAGAATCTGCTTCGCTAGGAGGGTCCAGTGGAGCTATTCCTGCTCTCAGAGGAGCAGGGTGATGGAGAGGATGGTCTCTGCTGTCACTTATGGACACACTTGTGCTAGGCAACAGCATTAAGCACCTTACAGGGCCCATCTCATCTGCCTCTCACTTCCAGCTTAGGAGGAAGGTATTCTTAGTATCTTCATTTGACCCATAAGGAAACATTCTGTGTCCATCACAGGTTAAATACACACTTGACAGACTTACCCTTTCTCTTCTTTGTGCAGTACATTTTTTAAAAATATTTATTTATACAAGAACTGGGGTACAGGTTAGAGGCGTGGGAGGGTGAGAGAATTCACCAGAGAGAGCGGGGAGCAGAACAGGCAGACGGACCAAAGACATTGCTGAGGGGAGCAGTGGGTGAGGCAGGAGAGGTCTGCCACGCCATGTGGGTTTCTCCCTGGCTAGCCAAGGATCAAACTCATGCTGCAGAGGCTGCGGACAGCTTCACAGTGCAGCTCTCAACCCGCTGCGCCACCGGGAAGGCCCTACTCTCTTATTGCCTGTATTAATGACCCTTGAGCTCCTTTCCAAAATACTGCTCGGGCATGGAGGCTGGCCCAGTATGAAAAGCTGACCATCCTTGGTACAGGTGGTCACTGAAAGTACTCAGGAGACCTTTCTATATTCTCAGACCCAATCTATGGGCAGGTGGCAGAAACTGCAGTTAAGGGAAACAATCCTGAATTCTCCTCTAAGCTGGCAGATGCAGCACAATGGTATCCAAAAATTGTCATGCTGATGTAAGCTAAAGGTAAGATCTAGTTGATCAGAGAACTCTTATCTAACAAATGAGGACATACCTGGCTTTGTTATGTAATAGTTGGTTTTTCTTGAAAAGTTATATAACAGGATTCTGTAATTCTGAGAATGAGGTCCCAAATATTTTACATTTTTTCCCCCCAAGTAATCACAAAAGATAAATAAGGAGAAGTCCAACTGAGGCCTTACCTCAAGTAAGTGCACCACATCCTGCCAGCAAGCAAGTCTGAGCAAAGGGAAAGCAGGTCAGCACCCAAGGGAGCAGTTCCCAAAGTATCTGACAGGCGCCGGGGCATATGATCATGAGTACGACTCCAGAGCCCATGACATGGCCCTGACCCCACAAGAGCCAGGAAATAAAAGTCACTGACATTGACGAGTTGAGTAGAAAAAGATTATGCCTCACTGTACATATCAGCATCTGGAGTCTTCAGAGGTCTTGATGGGAAAGTGGATCACCTGAAAGTCTGGCCTGACACTAGATCAAGGAACCATGTGGGGTTCAACCCTGCTCTGTCAGCACTCTGGACTGCCTGTACTAGAGGTCAACCTGGGGAAACTAAGAGACACAGCAGAATTGAGAGAGGAGCACAGTGGTTGGAGCCTGTACTCTACTGGGACTTAAGCCACTCCAGGCTCCTGTTCTCACTCTGACCCTCACCCAGGGCAGGTATTTAGTCCCTAAACCTGTTTCTCAACCCTAAAGCAGGAATCATGAGAACATCAGCCTCAGAGTTGTCATAATAAGCAGTAAGTAAAGCATTTGGGCCTAGCACAATGGTTCTCAACTGGGGCAATTTTGCCCCTCCTCCTTCCACAAGACCATGTGGCAGTGTCTAGAGATATTTTTGGTTGTCACAACTAGGAGTGGCGCCCAATAGATAAAGACAGGGAATTCAACTAAACATCCGGTAATATATAGGGCAGCCCCCACAACAGTTATCCAGTCCCAGGTGTCAATAGTGCCAAGATTTAGAAACACACAGGAAGTACTCTGTAAATAGGAACTATCAAATGATCTTTACTATTACGACAATGAAGTTATAGCTCTTTACCCTCAAAGATAACCAGTGTCTGTGATTAAAGTGATGACAGAAAATTCATTACTTACTCTACCTCTTGTAACACTGGGTAACAGATCCATCATTCTGGAGACAGGAAGAGTCTGCTGCTTGGCTGACTGTGAAGAACCCAGTAACTTTGTGAAATAAATAACATAGCAAAGCACAAGAACTGCAGTATAGAAAAGCTGCAAAAAAAAAAAAAAAAAGTTTTGAAATATACTTTTTTTTAAATGAAGTACAGTTTTACATCTTAAATTTTTGGACATTATAGGATTTCTCCCCTCATGTGTAGTCACTAGCTCTCCCACCACCAAAGCACCTAGAGTCCTCTACCACGGTCCCCTGTGCTCTCCTCATCCCTCTCATTCTTTCCTCTGCCCTCCTGGATGCCTCAGATCTATGGTCAGTTTTCAAGGGTTAGTTTTAAAGTTTGTCATTGTCTGACCCTTTATTTGGTTTCTCTATATTCCACATATAAGTGAAACCATCCGGTATTTTTCTTTCTCCTTCTGGTTTATTTTGCTTAGCATAATCCCTTCCAGGTCCATTCATGTTACCACAAATAACATGCTTATCTTTTTTTGAACACTGAGTAGCATTCCACTGTATATATGTACCATATCTTCTTTGTTGTTAATTTTTTTTTAGATAGATAGAAAGGGGGAGAGAAAGAAAGAATGTATGTGCGCGCGTGAGTGCAAGCAAGGGAGCGTGACGAAAAGTACATCTTCTTGATCCACTCAGCTGTTTTGGGGGCATTTAGGTTGTTTCCCTATCTGGGTTATTATTAAATAGTGCTGCAAAAAGCCTAGGAGGGCAGGTTTCCTTTTAAATTAGTATTTCCTTTTGAATTAGTGTTCTTTGGGTAGATTCCTAGCAGTGGAATTGCTGGGTTGTATGGTAAATTACACTGTTTTAATATAGGCATAATTAATACTTGCCTATAAATTTGACCTCCAAGGCCAATCAAGAAATAGAATTGTTTTAATTAACTGCACCTTCTATTCAGCAACACCTCACCCTCTGGAAAACAGCAGCACTTTTTAAGGCCAGCTCCACTGTAGCATCTCTGGGGAAAGTATTGTACATACTTCATCTGACGGGAGCACAGAAGTTCTTCAGGGCAGGCAGAACAGAATTTCCATGACAGATATTTATTAGTACAGTCACCACCAAAGTGTCAGATATGATCTCAAAAGATTCATGTTTGGCCAAAGGATCGACTTTTCCACCTAGAACAGCACCCTGTGAGGATCCATGTGTCCCCGCTGGGCTAATCTAACATCCAGGGACTGCCATCTAGCACTGGGGATTTTCCATAAACCCCGGAAACCTGTGACCTTATGATTACAAAGCAGAACTGAGCTGCTTGCTCCCTCCTCTCTGGCCAGTGTATGGGCAGGGCAAGAGCTACTACAGGATAGAGAAGGAAAGGGTGTGGTGACATGAGGACCCCTCCCTCCACCCCACTGCGACAAAAGGATGGCTTCTGGCCAAAAGCAGCAGTCTGGAGGTTTGTGTGCAGGTTGAAGAGGTGTATTCACACCTGTTCACAAACTCCGTTCGACCATCTTTCCCCTGAGAACAGAGAGCACACAATTTCAACAACAGGACCTACAATGCCCAACCTGGAAACACCCAGCTGCTCCTGAAATGAAGGCACAGAGCAAGGAGTAAGAGGACTCTCAGTTTAGCAGGTTTGGGCTCCTCTGCTCTCCACACCCAAGCATGCTTGGGGACAGAGTCCACCGTCCACATCTTTCTTCTTTCCTGCCTCAAACAGAGCAGCACTGCTGTGAGTCACACCACTTGAGGCCAACATCCTCTGTGACAAGTAGCCTCCTCCAGGCCCCCTTCTCCACCTCTGTTCATCTTCTCAGTCACCAGAGCCAGGGAAAATAGTAAGACCCTGCGGGTAGTTTTCACAAAGTATTCTAATACTTGGTTCACTAACATAACATGGACAATTTTAACCATTTTAAAGCATACAATTCAGTAGTTTTTAGTGTATTCACAATGTTCTACAAACACCTCCACCACTTTCGATTCCAAAACATTTTCACCATTCCAAAAGGAAACTATATCCATTAAGCAGTCACTCTCCATTCCCTGGCCACCAGTAATCTGCTTTGTGTCTCTGTGGACTTACTTGTTCTAGACTTTACATAATCGTGGAATTATACAATACACGGTGTTCAATATCTCAGTATTACATTTTCAAAGTTCATCTGTGCTGTCACACATAATGGTATTTCATTTTATGGCTGGATAATATCTTATTGTATAGATATACCACACAATTTGTCTATTCATCAGTTGATGGATATTTAGGTTGTTTCTGCTTTTTGGCTATTGTTAATAGTGTTATTATGAAAATCCATGTACAAGTTTTTGTTTGAACACCTGTTTTCAATTCTTTTGGTTATATACCCAGGAGTAGAACTGCTGGAAGATATGGCAGTTCTATGCTTAAATTCCTAAGGGACTGTCAAAGTGTCTTCCACAGGGGCTACACAATTTGACCTTCCTAGCAGCAGTATATGAGGGCTCTAATTTCTCCATATCCTTGCTAATACTTGTTATTTTGTTATTTATTTATTTTTTATAATGATAGTCATTTTAATGAGTAGCAGCAATATTTCATTATGGTTCTAGTCTACATTTGTCTAGTGACTAATGATATGTTGAGCAACTTTTCTCATACTTATTGATCATTTATTTGTATATCTTCTTTGGAGAGACATCTATTCAAGTTCTTTACCTACTGTTTAATTGGGTGGTTTGTCTTTCTGTTGTTGAAATTTAAGAGTTCTTTGTATATTCTAGAGTGATCCTTTAATTTGACATATGGGGCCTCCCCGGTGGCGCAGCAGTTGAGCGCTGGGCTGTGAAGATGCTCGCAGCCTCTGCAGCGTCAGTTCGATCCCGGCTGCCGGTGAGGGTCCCATATGGCCCGCAGACCTCTTCTGCCGCTCCCGCTGCTCCCCTCAGTAGTGTGTTTCATCAGTCTTCCTGTTCTGTTCCTGACTCTGGTGAATTCTCTCACCCTCCCGCGCTTCTGACTGTACCCAGTGCTTGTATAAATAAATAAATAAATCTTTAAAAAAAAAAACTTGACATATGATGCCGTGACCCTGGAGGGATGCTGGACAAAGGGGAATCCCAGAGCCTTGGGTGGGGCTCACCTGCTATTATAAGGTGCTGTTGGCTCTGAGACCTCTCACACAGACAGAGAATGTACCAGAGAGAAATGCTCTCAGAAGTCTTATGACAAGGAAGCAAATAAACTCAGAACTGCCCTTGCTGACCCATGCCATATGACATATCCGGGGGTGGGAGCTATAATAATCAGAAAGGCATAATAATGAAAGTGCCTTTTCCAGGAAGAGACAACCAATAACTATGGTCCTTGTGTCCTATTAAGAAGAGTGTATCAAAAACACTGATGAATGCTGAGAACTATAATCCCAGATCTAAAAAGTATGTAAAAATAATTAACAAATAACTATCCTGAAATACTTTATTTTGTAATTTTATATCTAGCTTTTGTATTTCACAAAAATATTTGAAGTTTTTCCCTAGGGCACAGGAAAGATTTTCACATAAATTATTACTAAGAATTTTAAGTTGTCTTCCCATACATTAAGAACAATTACAAACCACATTGTATCTTAAGATGCTCTGCTAACTATCTGCTCTTAGGTTTCATTTTTAAAATTAGCATTTGTATGCTAGTTATATTTTTATTAGAACTAGAAATATGAACCAGAACTAGAAGGAAATGAAAGATGGGAATGAAGTCAAAACTGCCAAAACTGAAACTGTAACTGAAAAACACTCGATCCATGCCCTCTGAATTATGTGAAATTTTAATCTAAGTTTAAAACAGGCCTGACAGAGTTTCCTCCTATTCTGATACAACTAATTGAAATCCAGGAAAAATAACACACATGCAACTTGAATCCCACCCCACCCCCTCACTGCCTTTTTTTCATTCCTCCATAAGACTATCAGACAATCAAAGATCGGTTAGATACTGGCTTGCCCACAGAATGTCTAAAAGAGTTTTTATGTCTGACAATGAGACTGAGATGTGGCCCTCAGCAGGGTCACCAGTGGAGACATCAATGGTGTCAAGGGCATGGAGCAGGATGAACAAGGCAGCCAGTGGAGAAGCAGGGCCAAGACCATCTTTCTAGAGCTTCCAGCCTATCCTGCATGCAAGATACTACAAATGAAATTTGGGTAGCAATGGGAACAAGAAGAAAGACCAAGTGAAGAAACATTATATGAAAGTTAAAAGTCCTAACTGAGGGCCTCCCCGGTGGTGCAGCAGGTTGAGCACAGAGCTGTGAAGCTGTCCGCTGCCTCTGCAGTGCAGGTTTGATTCCCGGCCAGCCAGGGAGAAACCCACATGGTGTGGAAGACCTCCCCTGCCTCGCCCGCTGCTCTCCTCAGCAGTGTCTTTGGTCCATCTGCCTGTTCTGCTCCCCACTCTTTCTCTGGTCAATTCTCTCACCCTTCCATGCATCTGACCTGTACCCCAGTTCTCGTATAAATAAATAAAATCTTTTAAAAAAAAGAAGTCATAACTGACCTGGGCCAGAGAGAAAATGTAGAGTCCCCAGTGAGGCAACCATAGCACAAGAAAAGCTGTCAGGAAACTCTTGAGGATCACTGACAGGCTCTCAGCAATCACCTGCAAACATGTGGTAAACAGTGCACTTTAAAAACATTGCTAAAGGGCCTCCCTGCTGGCGCAAGGGTTAAGTCTCAGCACTATGAAGCTATCAGCAGCCACTGCAGTACCAGTTGGATCCAGGCCAGGGAGCTGACTCACATGGCACAGCAGACCTCTCCTGTCTCACCCACTGCTCCCCTCAGCAGTGTATTTCAGTAAATCTGCCTGTTCTGCTCCCCACTCTGTCTCTGGTGAATCCTCTCACGCCCCACACCTCTGGCTTACACCCCAGTTCTTTGTATACATAAATAAATAAATCTTTAAAAAAAAAACAAAACTAAAGAAGCCAAGGAATGACAAATAGAGAGGGGTTACTGGGGTGGGGGTGAGCCACATATTTGGACATAGTGTCAGTGAAGTTCTACTTGGGTTGGGTGGTAGGTTCTCTGATCATCAGTCTGCTATCATGCTGCAGGGATTATGTAGATGTTATACTTCTTTTTTGTATAAATCAAATTATATATTTTAAAAGATGAAAAGTTATCAGCATACCATGAAGTAAATCATTAGAAAGAGTCAGAAAAAGTAGCCTTCTTAAATTATTTAAACAATTTCCAGATTAGCAAAACTTTTCCATTAATAGAACAGCAGAAGTAAACTTTAGCCCACTTCATCTGACAAATCTTAAGTGAATGAACTAAACTGACCATGTTACCTCTTTCCAAATACCTTTTTAGATGTAGGTTTGAAAAATCATTCTCTTTTATAAAAGCATTTCTTGAAAATACTCTTTCCCTTATTCTTCCCATTTGCCATTCACAGCAGAAGGGAAACTGACCTTCAGTTTGACAAACATATGTGCTTGTGCCAAGACCCAGAAGGGCTCTCCCAGAAGTTCCACCACTGCTGAGAGACCGAACACCACCACTCCAGTTCCATAATGGGGGACGACATTAGAATTAGGCACCTCGAGCAACTGTAACCAGACCCAGCCCAGGAAAAAGGACCAAAACACACCCAGGGGGACACTAGAAAAGTAAAAAAAAAGAAAGAAAAGTTTTTTTTAAGATACTAAATATAAAAATAAATATATATTAAAATAGTAACAGAAAAAATAGTCATAATAAACATTGCTATCATGTATTAAGGCATTTACTACATGCCAGGCACTATGATTCACTCCTTTATCTCAATGATCCTCCATTATTATCCCTATTTAAGAGATGAGAAAACTAAGGCTGACGGGTAATGGATAATTTGGCCAAGGTCATGAACATTAATGAAGGCAGAAGCAGGACCGTTCCTGACCTAGCTTTAAAGCCCTCACTCCTAGCCACTGTGTTATACTGACTTGATAAACAGATTCCAGAAAGTACGTGCCTGATGTCTGCACTTAGAATAACTGAATGATGGTACATTGCTGGTTCTTGCACCCCAAATAACCAATAGTCCAATGCACAGTATCCCTTTATATGTGTACCATAGAGACCTAAATGATGGTAGTCATTTCCCTAATAAAATGAACACCTACCAGCCCTTATGATAGTCATTTCCACGAGGCAATAAGGAGTTGTGCAAAGACAGCATTGGGAAAAAACCTCAACCACCAGCTCCCTGCAGGAATCTAATTGCAGAAAAGCCATTATAATTTTTAGCTGATGTACTCAGTCTTCAAGAACATTCTAAAAGTTCAGAACTGAAATCAACATAACAAAATTGAAGAAATACATAATGAAACCCCTAAAAGGCTTTCAAAAAATACTAAGACTAAGTGGTTGCTAAAAGCACAGAAAATACTACAGGGGGGAATATTAGGAATAAAAAGATGGCACAATCCCAGTGGAGACCAGAGTGGTTATCAGGAACAGCGGAAACAATCCGCTGGATAAAACAGGGCTAGAAAGCTGGCTCAGAACCCCTACCTGAACCCTCCTCCCAACTTCCAGTCATCCAGAGAGAAAACTAGCCAAGAAGCTGCTCCTGAACAGAAGCTCTCCCTTCCTGATCCAAACCAAGGCTCCAGAAACCCATTGCAAAACCAAAACTAGAGAACTGAGCTTTAGGCTACACCTCAGCCATTTAGCTTGCAACGCTTACTACACTTGCTTTTGTGCAACAGTCTCCTAGCAAAGCACAGCTCACCTTAGCCACAGGAGGTTGAGGGTTTGACTCCAGTCTCGCTGGGCACTTCCACTCAGACATGCCCTGCGGAAGGCCTCTCTGGCCAGGAATATGGTGGTGGAGTAAAGCAGCGTTAGCCTATAAAGGAAAAAAGCAGAATTGATAGAAATTCTAGTGTTTTTCATAGCGAGAATGGCTAAGTTTTTGCCAGCAACAGGCCAGAAACAAAGTCTCAATCATAAATCACTGGTGGTGATGCAGGGGTTGGGCTTTTATAGGACCCCCCACTAGGCTGATTGACCTGAACAACACTTTGGAACCAAACGAGAGACATCTAAGTACGTGCCTACTGAATGTTACTCTGTTACAGAAACTGCCACGGTGGCCCTCGTGACTGTCAGCATGAGATGTGGCCCCACACAGCAAGGGGACCTCTTGGTCACCCTGAGAAACTGGTGACCCAATGGCCCTAGTAATAGAAGCTGACAATACGGCTGCAGTCACTAC